TCTGCTTTTATTTCTAATTATGACAGTTTTGGTCCTCCGTACTGCAGAAGCCTGATAATCATATATTCATTCAAATCAGGTGTGTTGGAGCAGAGAAACAAGTAAAACATGCAGGGCTGCAGACCCTCCAGGACCAGGATTGCCCACCCCTGCTTTAAAGTCACATCGATGAGGTTATGTTTGAATCTTGTCTGTGAGGCACTGCTTTAAAAACATTTTTGTACATATTTTATGATTTAATAAACCTGCGCTTGTGCAACCTATTGTTCTCCTTTGTGCTTTACTTCCATGACAAACACGATGCCCGTCACATCTTACATGAAAACATCTTAAGTGTGCAAATATTTAATTCAAACRCCCATCCATGGATCATAGAGAACAAAGGAGAAAATTTAGGAATCAAAGACAAACGGGTTGAGAACCATGGATGACTGGTCAGCAAAAGTAAGCTGCCAGACCATCTGCCTGCCRGAACTGATGACACAGCAAGTGTTAGTGAGGAGGCCATTATGCTGTTTCAGTGGCAGAGCCCTCTTCTGTGACRGGCACTGAGACATTTAGKGYGTTTAGTGWCCACAATAATAACTARAGAAACTGCATTTCCTGCGAAAACGCTAGTGTGAATGCCTGTTGCTGAAAACTTTAGCTGAAAGCTGCTGAAGAAGCTGAAATTGAGCAGAGCATGTTTAGCAAAAGTATTATTGTAAGTTTAATTTGCAAAGCTGAAAGAAGCAAAAAAAAAAATACAGAAAAACAGTAAAAAGGAGCAAAAATATAGCTGAAATAGCATAAAAAGCTAAAGGCTAAAATAGCTGAATATAGCAGAAAGCAACCGTAAGAAGCATAAATAACTCAAATTAGCAGAAAGAAGCACAAAAAGTAAAAACGGCAGAAGAATAGAAGGAAGAAGTAGAATTTTGGCTAATATAGCAGCAAAAAGCTAAAATTAGCAAAGAAAGTAGCTAAAATTTGCACAAGACGGTAAAATAGAGCACAACCAGAACAAATTATGTAAGGTTTTGTAAAGATTTAGAAACTATTTGAAGGATTTTTATGTTGTTGAAAATAGCCCCATTCAAAGTCAATGGGAAAAAAAGTGGCTAAAAAGTTGAAAAGCTAAAAAAGTATAAATAGCTGAAATACCAAAAGTCATAGCCGGCACTGCACAAAAGAGCTTAACATTTTGATATATGAATAGTTGAAGTAGCACAAAAATTGTGGAACGAGAAAGGTGCCGAAAAACGTACGGAAGAAAAAATGATCTGAATAGTGTGAATGAATAAAACAGTGGTGGGGGAAGTGAGAAACAGACACTAGTTAGATAAGAGAGAGGCCATAAATCCTGCTTAAAATTTCAGAAATACTCTGGAAAAAAGCGACACATTCCCTCACATGGTTAGTTGGTTATAATATGACTGCTATAAGTGTGTATAAGTGTGCTATAAGTGTGTGCTATGAAGTGTTCTTCATGCTGCTCAACAAAGGGAGAAGTGTAGCCAGCATTGTGCAAGAGTTGATTTTATTTTTGCAAACCAAACTTATTTAAAGCCCCCTGTTTACCAAATGTTTCGTAACAATCCCAAGCTAGAACCAGTGTGGTTCTGATTCAGGATGTGTGGCCGACTCAGCGCTGACTCATGACGATGACAGGAAAACAGCAAAGATAAACACYGGAGTGAACGCTTTACACAAACAAACGCAGCTAATACAATTAACTGTGTGATTCGAGGTCAACTTGCCCTCGCTCTGTGGGTTTGATGAAACAGTTTGGTGGTTTGACCTTCGGTCTGGTTCGGGTCACTGTGACTTGACACAATTAAACTCAACACAGGATTAGATAGAAAAGGTCTCATGACCGTGAAATATCAGCATCTTCCACAGTCACAGAAGATACACCTGGCCGCTAAGTGATGTTTTAATACTCGTACTTTCGCATTTATTTATTACATTATTGCATTTTTTTTACGACATTGCCATTTCACAGCATCTATATAAAGACTTGGTTTATTTTGCTCCACAATGATTCTACAATGATTGATCAAAGAATACACAACTAATTTCTTTAGGTTTGGCTAATGTTTAATAGGGAAAACATTAATAAGTACACTGGCTTTATTGGGTAATGTTTACCTGATATGATCCCAGTTTGAATAATTACCGGTAGGTCAACTAGGATAGGAATGACAAAAGTGTTTTTAAAACACTATTAAAAGACACACCTTAATAAAAGGTGACTCATGTGGCCAACTCCTGTATAAAAAAAACTGGCTTTGATAAGTACTGGTTTTTGTACTTTTGCCAGTACAGAACTAGGGCTGTGTATTGGCAAGAATTTGGCGATACGATACATATCATGACAGAGGGGTCACGATATGATATATCCCGATATATTGTGATACTATAAGCAAGGCGATATATTGCGATATATTGTGATTTTTTTTTCCCCAAAAATTATATTAAATAAAAACCTCTTACAGGGAAAAAAAAAAATGAAAAACCAAAATTCATTGTCTCAGAAAATTCTAATATTACATAGACATGCTTTTGATACATTTGTGTTCTGCTTTGTATGTATTTTTATTTTATTTGTTTCATGTTTCTTATTTCATCCATGTTTTCAATTATTAGACTAAATTTGCCAATAAATAGTTTGAAAATATACTTGTTGCAGCTTTTAGTTTTTAATATTAATTTACAATATGGTCACCCAACACTTAACAATAGCCTCGACCTCAAGAGGTAGAGGAGCCAAATGTCTGGCTCACTGCTGCCAACTAGTGGTCAGAGGCTGAACTACAACATAAAAATGAACACCTGGCAGGAAATTTGACATTTTAAACCTTAATAAAAAAAAAAAAAAATCGATGCAGGGCCTTAGAATATCGATACAGTATCAGGAAATGAAATATTGCGATATTTCAGTGTATCAATATTTTCTCACACCCCTATATAGGACACAGTTACTGGAGTACAGTAAACAAAGCATGTGTTCAGGACAGAAAGTTCAGCTGTTGAGGCTCTGTCACACTAGATAACTTATGCCAACTTATGAACATTTTAAAGACGTCTACGAAGATTGAATTGAAAAAAAAAATCAACAGGATGCTTATTTTCTGTGTGTACATAATGTAATTATAACAAATTGATCAAATATTTAACTTCTATTAGCAATTTAGACATAAAAATGTTTTATAAGTTGGCATAAGTTAGTGTGACAAGGCCTTTAAGTCAATATCCTCACACAGATCAGGGAGGTCTTTTGTAWTTTTTATTATTACAAGACTAAAAGAGATTTGCTTTCCCCAGAGTACACAGRAACAGGGGAGCACATTCATGCAGCTGTTTGCTTATTCAGCTTTCCTGAACAGGTCAGGAGGTCATTACTGAACACTGCAAAAGCTTTACATAATGAGCTTTACATAATGATTCTTGGTAAGGAAGATTTGTCCTAATTTTTAACTTTAATGGAGTTTATTTATTCTAACATAAAGCATATTTAGTAAAGCACTACAAGTGATATTATTAATATCCTGTTTTTTATTGTAATCACAGTTTTACTGTTTTTGATTAAATTTAGTTTACTTCTCATTCCACAGATTTTAGATGTGATTGTTTTCTAAAAATGTGCTTTTTAAACAAACCACGTGTAGGCAGAAATATWAACATGTCCACAAAACTTTGTGACATGTTCTCAAACGCAGCTGAGTTAGTTTGTTTGTGCTTGCCTGTGCAATGTGTCGTGTTACTTACCAGGGTAAATTTTCTATCTCTGAAGGAATACTTTTTAATCTGTTTCCGCCCACAGAYAGCGACTGTAGATGGACCAGTTTAGTGCACTGCAGAGGGATCTCCTCAAACCGGTTCCCACTAAAGTTCAACACTTCCAGCCGCATAGAGCCGAACTCCTTGGGCAGAGAAAACTCGTCCAGCCGGTTGTTTTTGGCTAAAAGTGTTTTAAGCTTCGCTAATCGAGTTATGCCCTCACAGATGACCGTCAGTCCGTTGTTGCTGATGTCCAAAAACTCCAGGTTGTAGAAAAGACTCACCGACGAGGGAAGTGAGGTCAGTCGGTTGTAGTTCAGGTAGAGCTGTTTCGTGTCTTTCTTCCTGTCGTCGCTGACACTGTCCACGTTAAAACTGGTCAAACTCAGACGCGAAAAGTCGAGCACGCAGTCTCTTGCCGACGCCGCTCCATGGTGACTCTCCATTTTGGCTATTTTTCGAGTTAATTTCAAGTCTGCTCGAGACTTCGGACGTTCCTCCGTCCACGTAAATCACAGGTTAGCTCCAGGAGTTGTATTGGAACATGGAGAGCATTATTCCTGCTAAAACATGAGTCTCTGCACTTTTTTCTGGGCTAAAGTAGCTTCATTTAACTACTCTGAAACCTATGTCGCCCTCTTWCATCGCAGCCATTCTTTGACTGGGGTGGGATTTGCTTCCGCGTAATTCGATTGGCTAATTGTGTAAAAGCCCCGCCTACCAAAGCATTGATTGGTTACTCATCTCTTCTTTCATAATAAAGGCATAGCTTGACACGCTCTCTAGATGCAACACGTTTGGTGCTTTTTAAAATACGATTTAGAAGTTCAAGGCACCTAAATACACTCACC